CAAAGTCATCGCTGTTGAAAAGACTATACTGAGGAATTTAGTTTCTGGTTAACCAGAAAGAGAAATCACTGGTCAAACAAAGCAAGAAACTTGTACTCTATATAGGTAATCTTGTGAGTACGTATGTGAGTACGTTAAAAAACCAAACAGAAAAACCCTAGCAGTTTACCTATGTGCACAAAAGTATTTTTCTCTTGCATAAAAAAACCCACTTGATTTATATTAAATAAATATTTTCATTTGTATCTTGAAGTGCAATTAAAAATTCTTTAGGAGAATAGTAAATGCTACTGCATATCACAGAGTTACAGAATAGTTGGGATTGGAAGGGAGCTCTGGGGATCATCTCGTCCAACCTCTCATACAAGCAGGCTGCTGTAGAGCACGTTACCCATGACTGTGGGTAGTAATAGTTTGAATTGCTATTGTAAGTAGCCAGTGAACTAGCAATCTATTAGAGAACTCCAGTTTTATTTCTTCCACTTTCTATTACCCAAATGCACATTTTTCTGCAAAATAAAAACTCAGTTAAATGTCTTTATGTATCCAGTGCAGTGTAGGATAAATGGGATTTGTTGGGTGGTTTGATACATGTTTTTGTTGATGCAGGGAGCAAGCTTTGCCTTGTATTCAGATCCAGTTGCAGCGTGAAATCTCAGACTTTGGGAACCAAGTTGACATGCCATCTGGAAATGGAAGCAAATCTTCAGGTGGTCTACAAAAGACATTTTCAAAACTGACTTCACGGTTTACAAAAAAAACTTCCTGCACCAGTACAAGTAATAGTGGAAGTTATTCAATCCCCAGTACACCTTCCAAAAATGTCTTCATAAGTTCCAGCTCAGAGGAGAAGGCTAAAATGCCCACTAACATAGATGCACGGCTACAAAGCATTTTGAACATTGGTAACTTTCCTAGGACCACAGATTCACTGCAGTCAATCCAGAGCACAAATAATCAGATAGTAAATGGGTTTTTAGTTGAAAGACAGGACAACTTCTTCAAACTGGATGAAGGCAAGGATGACAAAGGTATGAATTTACCAACTGACCAAGAAATGCAGGATGTCATAGATTTCTTGTCTGGTTTCAACATGGGCAAATCCCAGCAGACTTCTCCAATGGTGAAAAGAAGAAACTCTATTGCATCCTCTACAGCAGCAGAACAAAAATCAGGAACAGTACAACAGCAGCCCCAGTCTGTCTCTCACACACCACTGCATCCTTCTCAGCAAGGCTTGTCACAGCAACAACAGTCACAAAAGCAGCAGCAACAAATGCAATATTACCAACATTTGCTTCAACCTATCGGACCACAGCAACGTGTACCTGCCAAATGGCTGACTAATTCTTCACAGCAGCCAGCCCAAACTGTTGGAGCTGGATTATCTCATTTAAACCAGTGGAATAATCCTGGTTTTTCAGATTTAAGCTCTGACTTGTACAGTTTGGGTCTTGTGAGCAGCTATATGGACAATATGATGTCAGAGATGTTAGGACAAAAACCACAAGGACCTAGAAACAACACATGGCCAAATCGTGACCAAACTGATGGAGTGTTTGGAATGCTGGGAGAAATTCTGCCCTTTGACCCTGCAGGTGTGTGTGCTTTGCTTTATTACTTTTTAGGAAGATCCTATCACAAATAGAAGAATACTGTTAAATATTCTTAGCAGTAATTATTTCCTAGTACTATTTACCAGATGCTAAGGTTATTAAAAATAGAGACAGGTATTTCTGTATGCCTTTTTTTTAACGTAGGTTGAACTGAAGTACAAAAAAAAGTAAGTAAAAAATGTCATTGTTTCATTAAAAAAACAAACAGAATTTTAACAAATTCCATGTTTATCTCAGTGGTAGTTCTTACCTTTCCTATAGGGACCAGATAAAAGTGTTGAAACTTACAGATAACGCTCTTCCTGCTGTTAATTTTTTAGATTGTTTAAAAGAATAGCATTCAGATCTGCGTATTTTGCCTCCCCCATCAATTATTCTTCCTGCTCTTTACCAGTCTTGCACTCTAGAGGTACGACTGAATTGCATCTTTCCCATATCCCTGCTTTCTCCCTTCAGTATGAGAATCACACCAATTCCTGCTCTCCGGCTGTTATTGCATTGAAAAGCTTGGATGCTAACGGGTTAGAGACTAAGGAGCAAGTGTCATGTGGTTTGCCAAGTATGTTGGAGCCACTGGTAAACTGTAAATGTATGGGGATTATTATTAAAGATGAAGTGAGATAAAATTTTATGGTTATAAGCAAACAACTTAGAGGCTATCAAATTGATTATAGAATCTGGGACTAAGAGGAGATTAATAATACCACTTGAGATCAACAGACCAGTCTGTTCTCTTACAGATGTATCTGTTGGTGTGGAACGTAGCTACAGGATTTCGTACTGTGCATTTATTAAAAGTGCCAGAACAATCTTTTCTAAAACCACTTTATCATTTTTCTGCTGTTACCTGTGTGTGTGTGTGACAAAAAATCTTCAACCAAATAGATTGGAATTAGAACCTTTCTTCATATAACATGCCAGGTTGAACTGTGATGTTGTTTGAAATCTAAGCTTCAGTTAGTGTAGTACAGAAAGCTTTAAATACGCACACAAAAAAAATCATTTTCTGATTTCCTTAGGAGTTGTGCTCCTAAGTCACTTGAAACAAATTGGGTTACTTGATGAGTATTTTTAGTCTGAAAATAATGACTTTTCAAGGGAAAAATCTGCTAATTAAGAATTTATAGAATTGATGGGGTTTTTTACGGTCAAAGGCCTCAGTGACTGCCAAAAATGTATTCTGCAGTATTTTCATAAGGAATGACTGCGGTATCAGTAAAGAGAAGATTGATACATCTGTATTTTTACAGGTGAACCTATCTCATGAAAGGGTGTTTATCTGTTCTTACAGAGGTAAAATTGACACAAGTTGCTATTTTGCATATAACTGTAATTTAACACCTCATGCTACCCACAGAACAAAACTATTCTTGCCCTTCAGAACCTATCCTTTGATCTGAGAATATGTCTAACTTCCAGCCTCAGATTAAATTGACATAAAAGTATTTCTCAAACTAAGTAGTAGTGGCAACACTTTGTTTCTGTACAGCTGTCAGGTAGCTCTGTTCCTTGTTCATACAATAAAGGATGTCTAGAAACAAAGGTAACTTTTTTTTTTTTTAGTTTTAATTTGAGTGCACCAGAACATTAGAGCTCTTCTTTTGTAAATGTGCTAAAAAATAAAGCTTTCCTTCAAATGCTGAACTGAACATAGGGAAGCAATCAGATGAACAAAAGGTATTTTGATTTGTTTTCCAAGCTGTGCACTTTAAGACTTTGTGTGCTAAAAATTACTATTTGTTTTCAGTAAATATCAATCTTACCCTGAACTGCTTAGTACTTCAGGATCAAAATGTTTTCAGAATGGCTGTGGTCTTTGTAAGAAGTAGGAGCTTCTGGGCTGCATGTTTTAATGAGATCAGTCTGAGCGTTTGGTCTCTTGAGAAGCAAAATCACAGCATGGATGGAAATCGTTTTGTGATCCTGAATCAACAGTAATAATTCAAATATTGTTTTTCTGACAATGGATAAATATCCAGTCTCCAATTTAGTCAGTATCTGATGCCGGACATTTAAGGGCACAGGCGTGATCATAGTCACAAAATACTGCTCTTCAGAGGGGATGCAAGGGACAGGTGTAAAAGATGAGAATTCCAGATGAGAATTATTATCTACCATGTACAACACATCTACTTTTTATTAAAACATTTCCTATTCAGTGTTCAGTGCTCCATCAAGAAGTATAAATGGTTTAGCATTAACCGTCAGTGAGAAGGAACTTCTTTTCTATGGTCAGGTCTAAAGGATTAAATGAAAGAGTTAAATGCAGTAGCAGTAGCTGAATGTCAGCTACTGACTTCATGATTTCTTTTATTTAGTTGGGTCTGATCCAGAGTTTGCCCGCTATGTTGCTGGGGTCAACCAGGCTATGCAACAGAAAAGGCAAGCACAGCACGTCCGTCGTCCAAGCAACACACGAAGCAACTGGCTTCTGCCTGATGACCCTCACAAAACCTGGCCCTTTCCTGAGTACTTCACAGAAAGGTAAGAGAATGGTTGAGCCACTTTGTTATCAATTTTTTTTTATTTGGGTCAGTTCTACACTCGAAACTTGGCAGGATATGGGAATAAGAGCTGTATTTTTTTTCTGATTGCTGCTGCACCAGTCAAAGCTGCAGCTCATGGCAAGAGTAAAAAAAATCTGAGCCCTTTCTGCTTTCTTGGTACTAAAGAACTGGCATTTGTTTGATATGATTCTGAAAGTAGAATGCATACTAAGTTTGACTCAGAGGATATGAGGACTTCATAACAGATCCACTTGGAATGTTCCTATTTCAGTATCTTTAAAATGTTTAAGACCTAGTTTTGATGAGGAGTGATTCTATGAAAGTTGCAACACCTGACTTAGTTCAACTAATCAACATCAACAGATTTCAGATGCTCAATCTTATTACTTTAAGGCATGTCACCATACCTTACAGAAAGTTAGTGGTTTTTAATGTCTTCCAAGTTGTAACTTTATTATGAAACAAGTGTTTCAAGATCCTCTGCCTGTTCATCTACATAGCTACAGCTATGAGTCTAAGGCTAGTTTAAAACCAGTAGGACAAGGGTGTTTTCTAGCTCAGTTATATAGTGAAAGAGCTGAGTGCTTAGTGACTGCAAAACCAAGAATCATTTGTTTTTCCTTCTTAACTAGGACAGACTGTGTTATTTTAGTAGAATATCTAGATATAAACTGATTGTAACAGACAAAGCAGCGATACAATCCCTCAGAAGTAAATACATGAAAGTATTTGTGTTAGTTCTACATTTAACAAAATATTGAAATTTCTTTGTGCCCTTGAGGTATCATCTGTCACTGAGATTCAGCATAACTAACTAGAGCATACGGTCTGGACCAAGCAGTATAGATAGAAGAACTAATAAAATGTTTTGTCTTACAGTGATGTGACAAACAGCTGGTCTGGTACTCAAGGAGATTCTGCCAGCTCGAGTGATGAGACCTCCTCAGCCAATGGGGACAGCTTGTTCTCCATGTTCTCAGGGCCAGACCTCGTCGCTGCTGTAAAGCAGAGAAGGTTAGAAAAATGAACAGAAATACATATCGCTATATAAAAATTTGGGGTGTTTTGATAATTTGAGGGCACAGGTAATTGACTCCTGTCAGTCAGGTAAAGTTACATGAATGTTGGTTTGTGTGCTACACACAATCAGTGAATCAGTGTATGCTGTGTATGATCTTAATGCTAGGGGTTCACAAATTGAGTTACGTTAGCAGCTAAATCTTAATACACATTAACATCTGTACAGATAGCCAGCTGCTGGCTGAAACTGATTATGCCTAGAAGGAGCTGACAGTCTCCCTGTAAGATGGTCTGTCTGGGAGGGCACTTCTTCCTAAAGTACTGGGGTCTTAGAGATGATCTTTGAATTGGTTTTATGAACTGTACTGCAGTGTAGCTTTTATTATGAAACAAGTGTTTCAAGATCCTGAACTGCCCCTGCACAGTTTTGATACCAGCAAGTTCCTATTCCCTGGCTTCTCTGCAGCTTTGTGGTACTTGATAATACTACCCTTAAAGTGTAAACTTCTGTCTAACGTTGGCCACCAACACCATTTCAGTAGTTTAAAATACTTAAATACTGACTATTTGCTCCTTTTCTTTCTGATCAAAGAGGGAGTTTAATTATATTCCTAAATAAGCTCAGTAACTTAAAAACTAAGCTAGGATTTTAAAATATGAATTATTAACAAGTGAATTCAACTAACTGTGAATACACTGAAATGTAATAGTATAAATTAGAATGTAGTTACTTCCAGCTTTCCCAAAGGGCTTATAGCTCTGTCTTTGAAACCTCAGTGATTCCATGCTAGGGGTTAGTTAAGAGGATAAAAGGCACAACAGAAAGTATGAATTCCCACCAAATAAGGCACAAGATGAAGCATGATTTCTGACCAAATTTCAATCTGGAATTAAACTCTCAGCTTATTTTTAGAAAAGGTTTTAAAAAGTAAAATATTCAGTGACCAAATACTTTTAAAATTAATATTTGATCAGAAACAAAATCAGAGTTGATGCTTTAGAATACAGCTGTCTACTCTTGGTGACAGGAAAAAAATCAGTGGCCACACCAACAGTTTACTGCAGATTACCACAGAAGTTATTTTTATATGCACTGGGGTAAAGAAAGTATGCTGGGGTAAAGTAAGATGAAACTAAGGCAAACAAGTTGAAAGGACTTGACTAAGCCAGGAGGTGCTTTCTGAATTTGTACCTTTACCAAAACTTTTAAGAGGGGACAAAAATAAATGCTGAATTGAAATAACTGGGAGATCGTTGTCAAATAAACATCACAGCAGAAGACCAGCTCATCTTCCTTGTTCATCTCCACAAAAACGTGCTGTTGAAGCTGTTGCTGCACTGTCAAGTCTCTGACAGTATTCAGTAACAAATTTCTTGCCGCAATAACTTGTACTTTTACCTCTATTAAGAAAAAATATGAGATGAAATGCCACTATACATTCTAGGCTGTTAAATAAGACAGAGCAGAACTACAGAATGGTATTCTAGTGGCATATTAATGCATGTGACTAACCTAAAAACAAATCAAACTAAATGTTGCTTTCTTGGGGCAGAAAACACAGTAGTGGAGAACAGGAACCTAGTACACTACCATCACCACCTCTTCTTTCTGCAGTAGATGACCGTAATCAGGTAAGTGGAAAACATCTTTGTTTAGTCATCTGTCCTGCGTGTGTTTTGGAGTGGTTTTCTTTAGGAAATCAACTAGAATAGAAGCTGTAGCTCCATATTCCTTACCTTGACTAAAACACAAACGATTTACACTGAAGTAGTACTAGATTCTTCTTTTTTCTTTTTTAAATGAAAAGTACCAAATTTAAAATAGGAAATAATTGAACTTCTCCCTTGTGGCAGAAATTACAGCAGAAAACACAAAGATTCAAGTTAAGCTAAGAGACAACACAGTCAACTTCAGTTTACACAAACAATGAAAGTTCCACCAGATTGGCCCTTGAGGCCAAGAAGGGCAATGGCCAGCAGGTCAGGGGAAGTCACCCCCAGCCTGTACTCTGTCCTGGTAAGGTGACGTGTGGAGTACTGTGTCCAGTTCTGGGTTACCCAGAAAGACAGGGAACATCTAGAGAGAGACCAGCAGGGGGCCACAATGACAATTAGGGGCCTGGAGATTTCTCTTAGGAGGAAAGTCTGAGACCTGGGATTGTTCTGCCTGGAGAAGGTGGTGTAGCGGAGGGTGGTGGGTAGCTGTCAATGCTTATAAATTCTTAGAACGCTTAAAGGGTGGGAGTCCAGCAGCAAGTCAGGGGGCAGTGGGCACAACCTAGAACACAGAAAGTTCCATTAGGAAACAGAGCACTGAAATGGGTTGCCGAGAGGTTGTGGAGTCTCCTTCTCTGCAGGTGCTCAAAACCTGCCCAGATGCATTCCTGTGCACCCTACTGTAGGGAATTGCTGTAGCAGAGGGGTTGGACTTGATGACCTCCAGAGGTCCCTTCCCACCCCTACAGTTCTGTGATTCTGTTAATTACCTGCCTTACTAGAAATTGTAACTTTCAGCAGGGCTGCTGGTCATCAAGCAAATGTGCTGAATAAAGGTTTTTCAAGAGGCAAATACTGTATGGGCTATGAGCTGTATATATGCATCAATTCTGTTTTTAAAGATTAATCCTCTGAAAATGTTGTAGTTAAGTACTGTCTCAAAATAAAGTACATGGATCAAAAAACAACAAAACAGAAAAACCAACCCGCTTCACAAACCAACAACTATTTCTGTTTTCTCAGGATAACAAAACCAAAACGTGGCCTCCAAAGGCACCCTGGCAACATACGTCCTCTGTCACGAATACACTACCCAGTCAGAGCACATCTCTGTACCCTATGAGCAGCCCTGTCAGCCAGTGGAGTGACACGATGCAGATCCTTCAGTCACCCGTGTGGGCGGCAGCCAACGACTGTGCTCCATCGACAGGCATTTCCTCTAGCTTTGCCTATGCGCAGCAGCAGCAGTCACAGCAACAGGCTTCCCAGCACAAACAGATGAATAAGGGCTTTAAATCTTTTCCTGTAAAGCACGAACGCAGACCATCTTACCTGCATCAATACTGATTGCTTTTCATATTGGGAAATGCAGCACAGGGCCAAATAGTTATGAAGTACGTGTACTTTTTTCACAATTGTATGTTGGCTATATCCTGTTCATCTTATTAAATAGGGAATCGAGGGGGGCTTGAGGAGAGGTATAAAAACTCTTGACTCTTATTTACAGTGCTGAGCAATATGGCCAATGTGTTTGTTTGTACATGAAACAGCCCAAAACTGTGATGTAGAAATGCTTTTAAAAATATCTATATTGCCTTTACTTTCAAAAGCTTTTTTTTAAAAAAAAAAAACTGCTGAAGGTCTACCATACAAAAAAACACTGTATTTTGTAGCTATTTTTCATATAGATTTATAGTTGACATCTTACTGAAACACAATGAATATGTTGAAGCAAACATATAGTGGTCACTTTGCTCAATGCTGTGTTTGAATTTACAATGGACAAGCTGGAAAGCCTTTGTTTCTTCCATAAATGGCCTGTGGGCAACTTTTTTTTTTTTTTAAATGAAGTGTAAGTGCAGCTTTTCATGTGCCACACAAGCGAGTTCATTATAAAACTGTTGCAGAAGCAGTTGTGAAATTGAGTGCTGTGGTAGTTTCCTTCCTCAAAGTATAGATCAGCAGAACCACTCAGATTTGTGTCACAAATGTTAACTGAGCTGCTTACAGTAGATGGCACCTGTGTGGATGACACTGGTTTTCAAATAAATAACATTTGTTAGTGCTTCATTTGGCCAAAGGCATTATCCACACAGTACTCCTTCCTGAAGTGTGTGAAAGTACAGCCTGAAAGACTACTTGCATATATTTTAAAGTCTTATTTCAGATGCTAGTTGATTTAAAAAAAAAAAAAAAGTTGTGAGCTGGCTCAGAAGATATCAGAAGTGTCACGTGGGGTAGCAGTTAGCTATAAGAACGTTATTTTTTTTAAAAGGATAAAGTAATTATTTGCAGTCAATATGTGCCATTAAGTGAACCTGTGGAATTGGGAATAATCTTCCAACCAAAGTGGGTCTGGGAGTGACTGGTGCTTAAAAAGTGAAGAACAATGGTAAATATATATATAGCTATCCCACTGTATATTAACTGAGATTACAGAAGATTCTTTATATAGTTAGAGCTTATTTAAATTTTCATATCTCATCTTTGAAAGAGACTAAAAAACCACAATATTTTCTGGTATAAGAGTTTTGACAGTATTAATCTTATTTTTGTATTTTTCTTAAGTCATATCATTCTAATATGTTAACTACTAGTAAAATGGGTTATTAGTTCTAACTACATAATTTTTCAATGAAGAGAAAGCACATTTGTTGTTTTTGTTTCTACAAACTAAGTACATCTATATCTAAAGATACCAAAAAATTAATACATATATATAAATAAGAAGTATACACAACACTAAAACTATTAAACATTTGGGTATTTAAAACCCATCCACCTTTTTTGTTTGTATGGTGATGGGCTGTATTTGCTGGCCCAGATTGTTACTTTTTGTGCTGTTTGAGGATGCCAATGTTGCCTGTATTTATGATATTGTCACCACGTTTTCTGAAAGTTCATACTTACATGTTTACAAAGATTTGTTTGCTGTACATAGACTTTTTACAGTAATGTGCTTTGCACAATCAGTGTGGCTTGTCTGTAAATTGTTGATGGTCTGTACTACTACAGTTTTGAAAACCCTCTGCTGAAAATGTTAGTGGTTACTTAACTTGATGAATGGTTTTGAGTTTCCTCAGTCTTGTCATTTAGATCTAATATTAAATCCTAAATTTGGTTGTAGTTACTGGTTATTCACACTAAGACCAAAATGGAAGTTAATGAAAACATTTTATTTTGAACTCCTCCTAACAAGTGCCAAAATTATTGCTATAGTTTGTGCAGCTGATTCATAATTACAAATGCTGGCAGGTTTCTAGATGTACAGAAGTAAATTGCAGAAACCAAGTCTGTCTGCATTTTGACCACGTAGGTGCTACTATGTCCTTCGCTTCCGATTGTTCTGAACACTGGTAATTTTAAGAGTTGTTGCACTTGGCAAATGAGTCTTGCCATTAAACTTCACTTACACTGCCAAGTGCAAGGGTTTGGTGCTTAGTTAACTTACCCTTATTGCAGTGCTTCTGTGAATAGCTAATGCTTCTGAACTGGAATTGTACATTTTGTATTTTAAAGCTTCTGTAAAAGTAAAATATTAGCTTTATTAAAGATATACATTTAATAGGTCATACCTGTTTAGAATATGCACCTTACTGAAAATGAGCAGCATCTAAAATTGTAATTTTGGTTTGTAATCAAATACCTTACTTCATTAACATAGGATTATTTAACAGTTTGAAAGTTGTTAGCTGCCTACTTACATGATATAAAACTGAACTTAATACACCATACAACCTGAAGCATCTTAAAAGATACTCTTTCATAAGAGAAAATGCCTTAACAGTATCTTTGGACTATTAGTGCAGATGAGCATTGCCATAAATAAGTAATGTGAATTTTTAGACAAGTAAATGATTTGAATGGGAGTGAGTGAAAACTTTTTTTTTTTTG